TAAATCCTGCAGCTTTTCAGGATTCTGGATCCTAAGGGCCTGCAACTTCTCAGGATTCTTGGTCCTATCGGCCTACAGTTTTTGAGGGTTCTGGCTTCTTTGGGACTGCAGCTTCTCAGGGTTCTGGGTCCATAGAAACTGCAGCTTCTCAGGGTTCTGGGTCCTTTGGGCCTGCAGTTTTTCAGGGTTCTGGGTTCTTTGGGCCTGCAGCTTCTGAGGGTTCAGGGTCCTTTGGGCCTGCAGCTTCTGAGGGTTCTGGGTTCTTTGGGCCTGCAACTTCTCAGGATTCTGGGTCCTCTGGGCCTGCAGCTTCTCAGGATTCTGGGTCTTTAAATCCTGCAGCTTTTCAGGATTCTGGATCCTAAGGGCCTGCAACTTCTCAGGATTCTGAGTCCTTTGGGCCTGCAGCTTCTCAGGGTTCTTGGTCCTATCGGCCTACAGTTTTTGAGGGTTCTGGCTTCTTTGGGACTGCAGCTTCTCAGGGTTCTGGGTCCATAGAAACTGCAGCTTCTCAGGGTTCTGGGTCCTTTGGGCCTGCAGTTTTTCAGGGTTCTGGGTTCTTTGGGCCTGCAGCTTCTCAGGGTTCTGGGTCCTTTGGGCCTGCAGCTTCTCAGGGTTCTGGGTTCTTTGGGCCTGCAGCTTCTGAGGGTCCTTTGGGCCTGCAGCTTCTCAGGATTCTGGATCCTTTGGGCCTGCAGCTTCTCAGGATTCTGGATCCTTTGGGCCTGCAGCTTCTCAGGATTCTGGATCCTTTGGGCCTGCAGCTTCTCAGGATTCTGGATCCTTTGGGCCTGCAGCTCCTCAGGGTTCTTGGTCCTTTGGGCCTGCAGCTTGTCAAGATTCTGGATCCTTTGGGACTGCAGCTTCTGAGGGTTCTGGATCCTTCGGGCCTGCAGCTTCTGAGGGTTCTGGATCCTTTGGGCCTGCAGCTTCTGAGGATTCTGAGTCTTTTGGGCCTGCAGCTACCGAGGGTTCTGGATCCTTTGGGCCTGCAGCTCCTCAGGGTTCTGAGTCCTTTGGGCCTGCAGCGCCTCAGGATTCTGGGTCCTCTGGGCCTGCAACTTTTCAGGGTTCTGAGTCCTTTGGGCCTGCAGCTCCTCAGGGTTCTGAGTCCTTTGGGACTGCAGCTTCTGAGGGTTCTTGGTCCTTTGGGCCTGCAACTTCTCAGGGTTCTGAGTCCTTTGGGCCTGCAGCTTCTCAGGATTCTGAGTCATTTGGGCCTGCAGCTTCTGAGGGTATTGGATCCTTTGGGCCTGAAGCTTTTCAGGGTTTCACCATTTCCCACATGCAGGATCTCCATTGCTCAGTTCACACAGGAAGTGTATGAAGATGTGGCAGGATTTCTGCAACAAGCTGCAACAAGTTCAGAGTTTTGCAGCAAGAGTTTACCTGCCAATACTACTTGTTGCAGCACCACTTACCTGCCAATACTACTTGTTGCAGCACCACTTACCTGCCAATACCACTTGTTGCAGCACCACTTACCTGCCAATACTACTTGTTGCAGCACCACTTACCTGCCAATACTACTTGTTGCAGCACCACTTACCTGCCAATACTACTTGTTGCAGCACCACTTACCTGCCAATACTACTTGTTGCAGCAAAACTTGATCCATTGATTTATCCAATGTCCAAGGTCGATAAATCATTGGATCAACCGAACTTAAGTCAATAATTGTTTCATTATATGACAAAAGTACTGAATACTGACACAGTCATGAATCTTTGTGGTGTCGTGTTTTCTGCCATTTTGATACAGATGTGACGTAATTGTAAACCAACACAGTCACAGGGACGAAGCGATGCGTAACGCACGCAGTGCAAAGTTCACAGCTGGAATATCCCAAATCCACGGGAGGTGTTTGGATTGTTGTATCAACCTTGACATCGCTTAGTGTCAAAGCTGTCATGTGACCAAGTGGGCCAATCAGAAGGGTGGAAATCTTCCCATCATATGATAATACTTTTTGCGGCAACAACTTACCTGCCAATACCACTTGTTGCAGCACCATTTACCTGCCAATACCACTTGTTGCAGCACAACTTACCTGCCAATACTACTTGTTGCAGCAAGAGTTGAATCTAGTTGGTTTAATCTGATTGCCTTCACTGTGGTTTTCTGTTTTATAAACACTTGCTTCTAATCTTATCAAGCTTGTTATTAGAACTTTGTATGTCATCCATTCAGAAAGAAAAATGGGCTTTATGCTGGGTTAGCCTCATATATAACCATGACTTGAATCAGGATGCTCAGAGCTTGGCTTGTCAGTTTCACCGTATGGGACTCTCTTGGTTTGGGTTGAGAACTGAATCGTGTATATACTCAAGGTTTGAGTTGACACATGGACATTTTTTTGTCCATGAATGAGAAGCACTCAGAACCATTCAAAAACTGGCCCTTTAAATACAGGTAAATGCCTCTTAAGTCTTAACTTTATATCAAAACGATGTAAATAATGTTGAGGTCTCATATCAGAAATGTAGAACTTGTTGTCACTGTCTATTGTACAACAAAACCCTCCAAGGAGAACAATATATTCACCCTGCTGTTTTTCTTGTTTGATTACGTACTCCTTGTTTAGTTCTTTCAACATTTGCCAGATATATATCCAATGCATCAAATCTTTGTGACATGTATACACTGTGTATATAGATGTCTGTAAGCTGTACACAAGGGTTGGGCCACACACACTGTGTATATAGATGTCTGTAAGCTGTACACAAGGGTTGGGCCACGCACAGTGTATATAGATATCTGTAAGATGTACACAAAGGGTTGGGCCACACAGTGTATATATATCTATAGATGCCTGTAAGCTGTACACAAGGGTTGGGCCACACTGTGTATATAGATGTCTGTAAGCTGTACACAAGGGTTGGGCCACACAGCGTATATAGATGTCTGTTGGCTGCACGCAAGGGTTGGGCCACACAGCCTATATAGATGTCTGTAAGCTGTACACAAGGGTTGGGCCACACAGTGTATATGGATGTCTGTAAGATGTACACAAAGGGTTGGGCCACACAGTGTATATATATCTATAGATGCCTGTAAGCTGTACACAAGGGTTGGGCCACACAGTGTATATAGATGTCTGTTAGCTGCACACAAGGGTTGGGCCACACAGCGTATATAGATGTCTGTTAGCTGTACACAAGGGTTGGGCCACAAAGTGTATATAGATGTCTGTAAGCTGTACACAAGGGTTGGGCCACACACAAGGGTTGGGCCACACAGTGTATATAGATGTCTGTAAGATGTACACAAAGGGTTGGGCCACACAGTGTATATAGATGTCTGTAGGCTGCACACAAGGGTTGGGCCACACAGTGTACATAGATGTCTGTAAGCTGTACACAGGGTTGGGCCACACAGTGTATATAGATGTTTGTAGCCTGTACACAGGGTTGGGCCACACAGTATATATAGATGTCTGTAAGCTGCACACAAGGGTTGGGCCACACAGTGTACATAGATGTCTGAATGCTGTACACAGGGTTGGGCCACACAGTGTATATAGATGTCTGTAGGCTGTACACAAGGGTTGGGCCACACAGTGTATATAGACGTCTGTAAGCTGTACACAAGGGTTGGGCCACCTTGTGTATATAGACGTCTGTAAGCTGTACACAAGGGTTAGGCCACCTTGTGTATATAGAGGTCTGTAAGTTGTACACAAGGGTTGGGCCACACACACTGTGTATATAGATGTCTGTAAGATGTGCACAAGGGTTGGGCCACACACACTGTGTATATATAGATGTCTGTAAGCTGTACACAAGGGTTGGGCCACACAGTGTACATCGATGTCTGTAAGCTGTACACAAGCATTGGGCCACACACACAGTGTATATAGATGTCTGTAAGCTGTACACAAGGGTTGGGCCACACTGTGTATATAGATGTCTGTAAGATGTACACAAAGGTTGGGCCACCCAGTGTATATAGACGTCTGTAAGCTGTACACAAGGGTTGGGTCACACAGTGTATATAGATGTCTGTTAGCTGTACACAAGGGTTGGGCCACACAGTGTATATAGATGTCTGTAAGATGTACACAAGGGTTGGGCCACCTTGTGTATATAGACGTCTGTAAGATGTACACAAGGGTTGGGCCACACACACAGTGTATATAGACGTCTGTAAGATGTACACAAGGGTTGGGCCACACAGTGTATATAGACGTCTGTAATCTGTACACAAGGGTTGGGCCAAACAGTGTATATAGAAGTCTGTAAGATGTACACAAGGGTTGGGCCACCCAGTGTATATAGATGTCTGTAAGCTGTACACAAGGGTTGGGCCACACAGTGTATATAGATGTCTGTAGGCTGTACACAAGGGTTGGGCCAAACAGTGTTTATAGAAGTCTGTAAGATGTACACAAGGGTTGGGGCACCTTGTGTCTGTAAGCTGTACACAAGGGTTGGGCCACCCAGTGTATATAGATGTCTGTGTTAGGCAGTGCCGATATTGAGTATTTTATTATTGGAAACACTACTGTAAAATTCAATCAGACAAATGGGACCTTGATTAGTTTATCAACATTTATGTCATATATCCTTTTCTGGATGTTGAAGTATACTGGTATATCGTAATTACCATCTGCATGCAATAACTTCCATCTGGCCTCGTGAGAGCCCACGTTTCGTGTTGTCTCTTTCTGGTGATTGGTCCATGCACTGGTGGAGAATGCTATAGCTAATGTCAGTGTGTGCAATATTTTCAGTAATTTGTGTTTTTTAGCAGTCATGGAGATCTTCTGTATTTCTGTTGTTAATTGCTAGCTGTGGCCAGGTCTTCAGTTATTTATTTGTACTTGTTTTTTTACCTTCAGAAACTTTGATTTAAAAGAATTTGAAAAAAGCAAATATGAAAAATGTACACAAAAGACTAAAGTTAAACTTAAATATACGAAATTGAAATGGAATTCCCGGAGCAGCCAGTGATGACAGGGAGTGGATGTTGGGTAACACCATGTTCTCCCCATGTTTCAGATGTAAATGAGTGTATGGAGGGAGGGGCAAAATGCCACCCCACGGCTGGGTGCTTAAACAGTATGGGCTTATACGAGTGTATATGCCCCGACGGTTTCTATGGTGACGGAAAAACTTGCCAGGGTAGGTATCCCCAAACCCCCACCAATGTGTGCTATGCAAGATTCAGTAGACGCTATACACACCACACAGTGTGATAAGTACGTTTCAGTTAGGTTCTTCGGACACAACGCACAGTATTTTGGGGAAGTAAAGATGTCAACACATTTTACAAAACAAATTTGTCAAAATGTAAATAGCTTTATATCTGTTTCATATCATTAGAAGATTATGAAATAATTATGAAAATTCGCAAAAGTTTGTTTGAAATAACCCGTGGTTTAGTATGTATTTAGATCTATGATGTGATGTGTGTTCTCTAGCATTGACTTTGGATGTTGTCTGGTAGCGACTGTTGTCTTGTTGTCCTGTATGATATAGCCGTATTTATTTTAGTAGTGCATAGCTGTGCATTGGTGTACCTTGACTCTGCTGGCGTTGATCGCTGTTTCTCTGTATGGCGGGTTTGTTTCAGAGTGCCGTGTTCCGTGTAACCCCGGGACCTACGAGGTGCAGCCGTGCACCAACACCACCCACAAGATCTGCCGAGGTAACTGCGGTCATGGAAATACTTGAACACGCAACCACTACAGACATCACATCTACTGGGTCAGACATACAGGGATCACATCTACTGGGTCAGACATACAGGGATCACATCTACAGAGTCAGACATACAGGGATCACATCTACTGGGTCAGACATACAGGGATCACACCTACTGGGTCAGACATACAGGGATAACATCTACAGGGTCAGACATACAGGGATCACATCTACAGGGTCAGACATACAGGGATCACATCTACAGGGTCAGACATACAGGGATCACATCTACTGGGTCAGACATACATGGATCACATCTACAGGGTCAGACATACAGGGATCACATTACTGGGTCAGACATACATGAGGGATCACATCTACAGAGTCAGACATACATGGATCACATCTACAGAGTCAGACATACAGGGATCACACCTACTGTGTCAGACATACATGGATCACATTACTGGGTCAGACATACATGGATCACATCTACAGGGTCAGACATACATGGATCACATCTACTGGGTCAGACATACAAGTATCACATCTAAGGGTCAGACATACGGGGATCACATCTACAGGGTCAGACTTACATGGATCACATCTACAGGGTCAGACATACATGGATCACATCTACTGGGTCAGACATACAGGGATCACATCTACAGGGTCAGACATACAGGGATCACATCTACAGGTTCAGACATACAGGGATCACATCTACAGGGTCAGACTTACATGGATCACATCTACAGGGTCAGACTTACAGGGATCACACCTACTGGGTCAGACATACATGGATCACATCTACTGGGTCAGACATACATGGATCACATCTACAGGGTCAGACATACAGGGATCCCATCTACTGGGTCAGACATACATGGATCACATCTACAGGGTCAGACATACATGGATCACATCTACAGTGTCAGACATACAGGGATCCCATCTACTGGGTCAGACATACATGGATCACATCTACAGGGTCAGACATACATGGATCACATCTACAGTGTCAGACATACAGGGATCCCATCTACTGGGTCAGACATACATGGATCACATCTACAGTGTCAGACATACATGGATCACATCTACAGGGTCAGACATACAGGGATCCCATCTACTGGGTCAGACATACAGGGATAACATCTACAGGGTCAGACATACGGGGATCACATCTACAGTGTCAGACATACATGGATCACATCTACAGGGTCAGACATACAGGGATCCCATCTACTGGGTCAGACATACATGGATCACATCTACAGTGTCAGACATACATGGATCACATCTACAGTGTCAGACATACAGGGATCACATCTACAGGGTCAGACATACAGGGATCCCATCTACAGGGTCAGACATACAGGGATCACATCTACAGGGTCAGACATACAGGGATCACATCTACAGGGTCAGACATACATGGATCACATCTACAGTGTCAGACATACAGGGATCCCATCTACTGGGTCAGACATACATGGATCACATCTACAGGGTCAGACTTACATGGATCACATCTACAGTGTCAGACATACATGGATCACATCTACAGGGTCAGACATACAGGGATCCCATCTACTGGGTCAGACATACAGGGATCACATCTACAGGGTCAGACATACGGGGATCACATCTACAGTGTCAGACATACATGGATCACATCTACAGGGTCAGACATACAGGGATCCCATCTACTGGGTCAGACATACATGGATCACATCTACAGTGTCAGACATGCATGGATCACATCTACAGTGTCAGACATACAGGGATCACATCTACAGGGTCAGACATACAGGGATCACATCTACAGGGTCAGACATACAGGGATCACATCTACAGGGTCAGACATACAGGGATCACATCTACAGGGTCAGACATACAGGGATCCCATCTACAGGGTCAGACATACAGGGATCACATCTACAGTGTCAGACATACAGAGATCCCATCTACTGGGTCAGACATACAGGGATCACATCTACAGGGTCAGACATACAGGAATCTTACCTGCTGTTGTAGCCTTGTTCTAATCTGTCCTTTGAATATCATCTGCAAACTGGAAGCCTGGAGCACCTTCTTCAGTTGTACTACAAATGTCCCTTTTGCAGATTGCACCAAGGTGTGCCCTGATGGTTACTTCATGCTGAGGCCATGCAAGTCCGACAGTAACTCCCACTGCAGAGGTAGGTGCCATGGGGTTACCAGTCCACCATCACACATCACCATACATTTCACTCTCCACCCCTCAACTCTGCACCCCTCAACTCTCCACCCCCCAACTCTCCTCCCTTCACCCTCCTCCCCTTCACCCTCCTCCCCTTCACCCCTCCTCCCTTCACCCTTCACCCTCCCTCCCCTTTGTCCCCTCCTCCCTTTCACCCTCTCCTTTTACTCTTCACCCCATCACCTTCACCCTCCCTTTTTACTCTTCACCCTCCTTACCCCCTCCTCCTTTTACCTCCCCTCATCACCCTTCACCCTTTTACCTTCACACACACCCCTCATCACCCTTCACCCTCCTCTCTTTTACTCTTCACCCTCCTTACCCCCCCTCCTCTCTTTTACTCTTCACCCTCCTCTCTCTCTCTGTCTCCTCCCTTTTACTCTCCACCCCTTTCACTCTCCTCCCTTTTACTCACCTTTTCTCTGCCTACCTATCAGTATTACTTGATGACATGATGTTTCTATGTCTGTGTCCTTGAATCACTTGCGCTCCTCTTTTCTGCAGCCTGCCAGAAGCAGTGTTCCTTTGGAGAATTTGAGTACCAGACTTGCCAGAGAGATACCAACAGAGAATGTAGAAGTAAGAAAGGTCGCCTTTGTACTTACACCACACATGACAGTATCTCTACAGATACAGTGTGATGCCTACAGTAATACACTGTGTGATGCACTGTGATAAACTGTAATACACTATGTGATACACTGTGATACACTATGTGATGCACTATGTGATACACTTTGTGATACACTATGTGATACACTGTGATACACTATGTGTTATACTGTGATACACTATGTGATATACTGTGATTCACTATGTGACACACTATGTGATGCACTATGTGATACACTGTGATACACTTTGTGATACACTATGTGATACACTATCTGATACACTATGTGATGCACTGTGATACACTGTGTGATACACTGTGTGAAACATGGTGATAAACTGTAATACACTATGTGATACACTATCTGATACACTATGTGATGCACTGTGATACACTATGATACACTATGTGATATACTGTGATACACTGTGATACACTATGTGATACACTGTGATACACTATGTGGTACACTATGTGGTACACTGTGATACACTATGTGATACACTATGTGATACACTGTGACACACTATGTGATACACTATGTGATGCACTGTGATATACTGTGTGAAAACTGGTGATATGGTGATACACTGTGATACACTATGTGATATACTATGTGATATACACTGTGATACACTTTGACACACTATGTGATACACTATGTGATGCACTGTGATATACTGTGATACACTTTGTGATACACTGTGTGATTCACTGTGTGATTCACTGTGATACACTGTGTGAAACATGGTGATAAACTGTATTACACTATGTGATACACTGTGATACACTATGTGATATACTGTGATACACTGTGATACACTATGTGATACACTATGTGATGCACTGTGATATACTGTGTGAAACATGGTGATAAACTGTATTACACTATGTGATACACTGTGATACACTATGTGATATACTGTGATACACTGTGATACACTGTGACACACTATGTGATACATTATGTGATGCACTGTGATATACTGTGATACACTTTGTGATTCACTGTGATACACTATGTGATACACTGTGATACACTATGTGATATACTGTGATACACTGTGATACACTGTGATACACTATGTGATACACTATGTGTTACATGTTTTTCTTTATAAGGTCACAGCCTCCTGCCTACCCCTGAAGGCTCACAGAACATCATCCTGGAGAGTCTCTATGGTGTCGTGGATCAGAAGGTGGAGGAGGATTACCTCCCTTCAATGCAGAGCGGCAACTTTGGGTTTACTCTAGACAGAGGTAAGCCATTCTTGTAACACACATCAAATGCCAAAGTGCAAGATCAGGGTACAATTTTGTTTGTGAAGATGCCAGAACATGACAGAATCTAATGGTTCATAGCTCTCAATCTTGAATACAAACAACTTTACATTTCAGCTAGTGATCTCAAGGTCAAGGTCACAATGAAGTCTGTCCAGGCAGCTCAGCTCTATGTTCCCATCAACTCCTCGGAGAAAGGAAGTTTCCGAGCTATCCCCCAGTCCGGCACCCAAAGTCAGATCCTTCGCCAGTTCTGTCCCCACCCTGTTCCTGACCACTACATCCTACATCATGATAAACTGATGGTAAGTACACACACTCCCCACCCAGACCTGACCACTCCATCCTACATCGTGATAAACCGATGGTAAGTACACATGCTCTGTACCCAGTCCTGACCACTACATCCTACATCATGATAAACTGATGGTGAGTACACACACTCCCCACCCAGACCTGACCACTCCATCCTACATCATGATAAACTGATGGTAAGTACACACACTCCCCACCCAGACCTGACCACTCCATCATACATCATGATAAACTGATGGTAAGTACACCCGCTCCCTCCCCAGTCCTGACCACTACATCCTACATCATGATAAACTGATGGTAAGTACACACGCTCTGTACCCAGTCCTGACCACTACATCCTACATCATGATAAACTGATGGTAAGTACACACGCTCTGTACCCAGTCCTGGCCACTAAATCCTACATCATGATAAACTGATGGTAAGTACACACGCTCCCCACCCAGTCCTGGCCACTACATCCTACATCATGATAAACTGATGGTAAGTACACACGCTCCCCACCCAGTCCTGGTCACTACATCCTACATCATGATAAACTGATGGTAAGTACACACGCTCCCCACCCAGTCCTGGTCACTACATCCTACATCATGATAAACTGATGGTAAGTAGACACGCCCCCTGTTCCCTTATCAGTACATCTTGCGTCATGGTACCTTCACCTGTTCCCTGACCAGTACATCTTGCAACATGGTACCTTCACCTGTTCCCTGACCAGTACATCTTACATCATGGTACCTTCACCTGTTCCCTGACCAGTACATCTTACATCATGGTACCTTCACCTGTTCCCTGACCAGTACATCTTGCGTCATGGTACCTTCACCTGTTCCCTGACCAGTACATCTTACATCATGGTACCTTCACCTGTTCCCTGACCAGTACATCTTGCATCATGGTACCTTCACCTGTTCCCTGACCAGTACATCTTGCATCATTGTACCTTCACCTATTCCCTGATCAGTACATCTTGCCTCATGGTACCTTCACCTGTTCCCTGATCAGTACATCTTGCATCGTGGTACCTTCACCTCTTCCCTCACCAGTACACCTTGCCTACTGGTACCTTTACCGGTTCCCTGACCAGTACATCTTGCATTATATTTCCTTCACCTGTTCCCTGACCAGTACATCTTGCATCATGGTACCTTCACCTATTCCCTGATCAGTACATCTTACATCATGGTACCTTCACCTGTTCCCTGACCAGTACATCTTGCATCATGGTACCTTCACCTGTTCCCTGACCAGTACATCTTGCATCATGGTACCTTCACCTGTTCCCTGACCAGTACATCTTGCATCATTGTACCTTCACCTATTCCCTGATCAGTACATCTTGCCTCATGGTACCTTCACCTGTTCCCTGATCAGTACATCTTGCATCGTGGTACCTTCACCTCTTCCCTCACCAGTACACCTTGCCTACTGGTACCTTTACCGGTTCCCTGACCAGTACATCTTGCATTATATTTCCTTCACCTGTTCCCTGACCAGTACATCTTGCATCATGGTACCTTCACCTATTCCCTGATCAGTACATCTTGCCTCATGGTACCTTCACCTGTTCCCTGATCAGTACATCTTGCATTATATTTCCTTCACCTGTTCCCTGACCAGTACATCTTACATCATGGTACCTTCACCTGTTCCATGATCAGTACATCTTGCTTACCGCCGATGTGAACCTAAAACGTACTGCCTCGTCATATAAGATGTTTATCTGTCTGAAATGTTTTAATCAGTCGCTGCCACAAGTCGAAAGAACGTGAGAAATGTTAATAAGAGTTGCAATAAACGGGAATCAAGAACATTATTTAGATAATTCTGTCTGTATTAAGTTGGGTTTGTTTAGGTTTTTTATTTTTCCCTGACCAACCGACCCATGATTCAGAATTTGGTGGCTACATGAAACACCTAAAAAAATATCATGCCCTTACAAGATATATTGTAAACAAATTTAGCATAAGTATGTGTAAACTGTATTTTCACATGACATTTCAGAACATCACCTACAGTCTTGATGACAACCAGAAGGCACAGCCCTGTCAGTCTTTTGAGACAGTTGGAAATTTCCCAGGCTCCTCTTCTGCTGGTCCCTCCCACTTCCTGTATCCGCAACCAGGGCCGATGACCGATCTGTTTGATGGAATCAGAGCTGACTTCTTCAAAAGCTCCACAGTATGGGTTGAGAAGTCCAAAAGGTGAATCATCCTTGTAAATAGTCCTTGTACACCATCCATGTAAATAGTCCTTGTAGACCATCCATGTAAATAGTCCTTGTAGACCATCCTTATAAATAGTCCTTGTAGACCATCCTTGTAAATAGTCCTTGTAGACCATCCATGGAAATTGTCCTTGTAGACCATCCATGTAAATTGTCCTTGTAGACCATCCATGTAAATTATCCTTGTAGACCATCCATGTAAATTGTCCTTGTAGACCATCCATGTAAACTGTCCTTGTAGACCATCCATGTAAACTGTCCTTGTAGACCATCCTTGGTAATTGTCCTTGTAGACCATCCATGTAAATTGTCCTTGTAGACCATCCATGTAAATTGTCCTTATAGACCATCCTTGGTAATTGTCCTTGTAGACCATCCATGTAATTGTCCTTGTAGTCCATCCATGAATACCATCCTTGGTAATTGTCCTTGTATATGATCCTTATGCTCCATTGATGTCCAAACTGTTACCAGTAATCAAATTGGTGAAAACATTCATAGAATTAGAACATTTGTTTCTTGTGTGCCCACCAGGTGTCAGCACTATAGCAAACGCTGTGAGGACTGTACACGAGACTGTGCCCGGCAGATGACACAAAGTAGCTCAGAATGTTCCGTGCTGGGCAGTGAGAGTGACAATGGCTACTCCCCACGTCTCCGTGTTTGCTACACCTGCTGTGCCCGCAGCAACTGCAGCGACATCTGTAAGGACTATCACAAGCGACATTGCCAGCCGCGGAAGTGAGTACACCAAGGGCTTTGATGGTTAGAAACAGGTTCCTGGGCATATGACCTGTGGGGCTTAAGGGTTAGAAACGGGTCCCCAGCCAACTGGTCATAAAAGCAGACCTGTGATGCTTGACGGCTAGAAATGGGTCCCCAGGCAACTGGTCATTAAAGCAGACCTGTGATGCTTGACGGCTAGAAACGGGTCCCCAGCCAACTGGTCATAAAAGCAGACCTGCGGGGCTTGACGGCTAGAAACGGGTCCCCAGGCAACTGGTCATTAAAGCAGACCTGTGATGCTTGACGGCTAGAAACGGGTCCCCAGCCAACTGGTCATAAAAGCAGACCTGCGGGGCTTGACAGTTAGAAACGGGTCCCCAGCCAACTGGTCATAAAAGCAGACCTGTGATGCTTGACGGCTAGAAACAGGTCCCCAGCCAACTGGTCATAAAAGCAGACCTGCAGGGCTTGATGGCTAGAAACAGGTCCCCAGCTAACTGGTCATAAAAGCAGACCTGTGATGCTTGACGGCTAGAAACAAACCCCAGCCAACTGGTCATAGAAGCAGACCTGCGGGGCTTGACAGTTAGAAACGGGTCCCCAGCCAACTGGTCATAAAAGCAGACCTGTGATGCTTGACGGCTAGAAACAGGTCCCCAGCCAACTGGTCATAGAAGCAGACCTGTGATGCTTGACGGCTAGAAACAGGTCCCCAGCCAACTGGTCATAAAAGCAGACCTGCGGGGCTTGACAATTAGAAACGGGTCCCCAGCCAACTGGTCATAAAAGCAGACCTGTGATGCTTGACGGCTAGAAACAAGTCCCCAGCCAACTGGTCATAAAAGCAGACCTGCAGGGCTTGACAGTTAGAAACGGGTCCCCAGCCAACTGGTCATAAAAGCAGACCTGTGATGCTTGATGGCTAGAAACAGGTCCCCAGCCAACTGGTCATAAAAGCAGACCTGTGATGCTTGACGGCTAGAAACAGGTCCCCAGCCAACTGGTCATAAAAGCAGACCTGTGATGCTTGACGGCTAGAAACAGGTCCCCAGCCAACTGGTCATAAAAGCAGACCTGCGGGGCTTGACAGTTAGAAACGGGTCCCCAGCCAACTGGTCATAGAAGCAGACCTGCAGGGCTTGACAGTTAGAAACGGGTCCCCAGCCAACTGGTCATAAAAGCAGACCTGTGATGCTTGACGGCTAGAAACAGGTCCCCAGCCAACTGGTCATAAAAGCAGACCTGTGATGCTTGACGGCTAGAAACAGGTCCCCAGCCAACTGGTCATAAAAGCAGACCTGCGGGGCTTGACAGTTAGAAACGGGTCCCCAGCCAACTGGTCATTAAAGCAGACCTGTGATGCTTGACGGCTAGAAACAGGTCCCCAGCCAACTGGTCATAGAAGCAGACCTGCAGGGCTTGACAGTTAGAAACGGGTCCCCAGCCAACTGGTCATAAAAGCAGACCTGTGATGCTTGACGGCTAGAAACAGGTCCCCAGCCAACTGGTCATAAAAGCAGACCTGTGATGCTTGACGGCTAGAAACAGGTCCCCAGCCAACTGGTCATAAAAGCAGACCTGTGATGCTTGACGGCTAGAAACAGGTCCCCAGCCAACTGGTCATAGAAGCAGACCTGCGGGGCTTGACGGCTAGAAACGGGTCCCCAGCCAACTGGTCATAAAAGCAGACCTGTGATGCTTGACGGCTAGAAACAGGTCCCCAGCCAACTGGTCATAGAAGCAGACCTGCGGGGCTTGACAATTAGAAACGGGGCCATTATTATCGAAACGTTCGTAACCCTAAAATTCTTAACTTTGATCGTAGCCAATGTGTTAAGACTGGCCTTAAGAAGTTTGTAGGGCTACGAACGTTTCGAGAATAGCCAGCCTGGTTCCCTGGTCATAACGGGAGATCTATGTGTTTTGGGGATTTGAATAAGTCTACAGGTCATAACAGGAGTATCTGTGTGATGCTGTAATATTTACAATAACATATCAGTGTGATGCTGTTATATTTACAATAACATATCAGTGTGATGCTGTTATATTTACAATAACATATCAGTGTGATGCTGTTATATTTACAATAACATGTCTGTGTGATGCTGTTATGTTCACAATAACATGTCTGTGTGATGCTGTTATGTTTACAATAACATATCAGTGTGATGCTGTTATATTTACAATAACATATCAGTGTGATGCTGTTATGTTCACAATAACATATCAGTGTGATGCTGTTATGTTTACAATAACATATCTGTGTGATGCTGTTATATTTACAATTATATATATGTGTGATGCTGTTATGTTTACAATAACATATCTGTGTGATGCTGTTATATTTACAGTAACATGTCTGTGTGATGCTGTTATATTTACAATTATATATATGTGTGATGCTGTTATGTTTACAATAACATATCAGTGTGATGCTGTTATGTTTACAATAACATGTCTGTGTGATGCTGTTATGTTTACAATAACATGTCTGTGTGATGCTGTTATGTTTACAATAACATATCTATGTGATGCTGTTATGTTCACAATAACATATCAGTGTGATGCTGTTATGTTTACAATAACATGTCTGTGTGATGCTGTTATGTTTACAATAACATATCAGTGTGATGCTGTTATGTTCACAATAACATGTCTGTGTGATGCTGTTATGTTTACAATAACATGTCTGTGTGATGCTGTTATGTTTACAATAACATCTGTGTGATGCTGTTATATTTACAATAACATGTCTGTGTGATGCTGTTATGTTTACAATAACATATCTATGTGATGCTGTTATGTTCACAATAACATGTCTGTGTGATGCTGTTATGTTTACAATAACATGTCTATGTGATGCTGTTATGTTCACAATAACATATCAGTGTGATGCTGTTATGTTTACAATAACATGTCTGTGTGATGCTGTTATGTTTACAATAACATGTCTGTGTGATGCTGTTATGTTTACAATAACATGTCTGTGTGATGCTGTTATGTTCACAATAACATGTCTGTGTGCTGTTGTTATGTTTACAATTATATATATGTGTGCTGCTGTTATGTTTACAATAACATGTCTGTGTGATGCGTGTTTTTTGGCAGATGTCTGAAGAGCAACTGGATGGAGTTCCACATCCGTCCTCAATGGGACAGTAGTCGAATGAACCACTTCTACTGCCACATCAAACCGTTGCCACGACAACACCTCCTAGAGTTGGAGTTCAGTCTTCAATATCAAGGTCAATCCTTCTACAAAGGCAAGGTCAGCCTGAAAGGAAATAAACAGTGGGAGAAGGAAGGCAGAATGAACTACAAGTGAGAGAAGCATACGTTTGTTGTGCTTTGTATTTTAGCTTTAGTGCTTCTGAAGTGGTTGTCTCCTCTGGACCAGTCCACAAAGCATTTTTAGCACTTTGATATTCGGGAGCCAAATGATAAACTGCATACTTTCTCATAAGGCCACAACTGCCTTGTTGATCAGGACCCTGCAAGTTACCTTATTGTGAGTAGAATCATTGGAGGTAAATGACTGTGGAGTAAAGCTGATATTTCATCCCCTTAGTGACAGGCTAAGGCTGAAAACCATTCTTGGAAATGCTCGATAGCTGACTGCATAGATATAAGTACAGTTTAGTCAGTTCAACATGTTGATGACTTGTGTTATTGGGAGGTGTTGCTGCAGTGTTGCTTTGTTTGTGAATCAGAGACAAGATCGTACATGTGAAGGTGGACTCCAGGCTCGGGGCACCACCTGACTTCCTGGAAGGGGAGGTGTCCGGACATCGGGGAATCTTCAGGGTTGGCCATTACCGGAACCAGGGACCATCTGTCTTCTCCTCTGTGATTGGTGGAGAGTCAGTGTCCATCAGACCAAAGAATCCATTTGGAGAGATGGACACACCAGGTAATGTGAACTTTGTCGATATTTCTTTTTGTAAAAGTCAAACCATACAGTCACACATGATTTATGTTAAATTTGGATGTGTAAAACATACACTTATCTCCAAGTAAAAGTCTGGTCCCTGCATAAGTCTTATTCAGTCATCAGTTTGTGGGTGTGTTAAACCTTGGATAGTTAGCAGTATTACACAGGTACCTTCAACTTGACACTATTCAGTTATCAGTTTGTGGGTGTGTTAAACCTTGGATAGTTAGCAGTATTACACAGGTACCTTCAACTTGACACTATTCAGTCATCAGTTTGTGGATGTGTTAAACCTTGGATAGTTAGCAGTATTACACAGGTACCTTCAACTTGACACTATTCAGTCATCAGTTTGTGGGTGTGTTAAACCTTAGATAGTTGGCAGTATTACACAGGTACCTTCAACTTGACACTATTCAGTCATCAGTTTGTGGGTGTGTTAAACCTTGGATAGTTAGCAGTATTACACAGGTACCTTCAACTTGACACTATTCAGTCATCAGTTTGTGGATGTGTTAAACCTTGGATAGTTAGCAGTATTACACAGGTACCTTCAACTTGACACTATTCAGTCATCAGTTTGTGGGTGTGTTAAACCTTGGATAGTTAGCAGTATTACACAGGTACCTTCAACTTGACACTACGGTCATCAGTTTGTGGATGTGTTAAACCTTGGATAGTTGGCAGTATTACACAGGTACCTTCAACTTGACACTACGGTCATCAGTTTGTGGGTGTGTTAAACCTTGGATAGTTGGCAGTATTACACAGGTACCTTCAACTTGACACTGCGGTCAGCAGACACCTTTTCTGGAAAACAAATTTGGCTTCTTTTGCTGTTGAAGTAATTGGTTGAATTATGTCTCATGATTTAGCCTGTCAGTTAGGGTCAATATGATCCCTCGGAGTCCTCCTGCTGTGGGTGCCTGAATTCCTTTATATTGATGAGTAGAAGTTACATGTACCTCTGTGATCATGTTGCCAGTGAGTGACAAGAACTATGACAGAGACGTGCTGGAGAACTCTGTGTTAGCAACGGAGACGGAGGGACCGTATGAGATCAGCTCTGACCTCATGGTGGTCACCTACCTCAATGACACCTTCCCCTACCATGTGACTCACAAGAACGCTGCACCACACCTGGAGGTTAGCCTGCCAAAGGAAGTGTCCATCTTGGCCTCTGTGTTCGAGAGAGTCACTCTGCAGCACAAGACCATCCGAGGCAGCCTGGTCAACAACAATACACACTGGGTGGTGGGAGTGTCCGGCAGGGTCAAGACATGTCCAGGTAAATAGTCACAAAAAATGGTCATCTGTACCTTGCAAGCAAACCAGATCTCTCCTTTGTCTTTCTCTCCATTAGACTTCTTTGCTTCACTGTTTGATTGATTGTGCTATGTCATCATGTGTCACTGTCTCATCATATGTTATGTGCCCTGTAACATTGTGTCACCATGTGTCATCCTGTGTCACCATGTGTCATCCTATTTTACTATGTGTCATCCTGTGTCACCATGTGTCATCCTGTGTCAACATGTGTCATCCTGTGTCACCATGTATGATCCTGTGTCATTGTGTGTGAGCCTGTGTCACTGTGTGTGAACCTGTGTCACCATGTGTGAGCCTGTGTCATTGTGTGTCATCCTGTGTCATTGTGTATCATCCTGTGTCACCATGTATCATCCTGTGTCACCATGTGTCATCATCCTGTGTCACCATGTGTCATCCTGTGTCACTGCGTCACAATGTGTCATCCTGTGTCACTGTGTGTCATCCTGTGTCACTGTGTCACAATGTGTCATCCTGTGTCGCTATGTGTACAAATGTGTCACCATGTGTCTGATCCTGTGTTACTGTGTCTGATTCTGTGTCACCATGTGTCATCCTGTGTCACCATGTGTGATCCTGTGTTACTATGTTCCAAGGCCTGCTGATGATGGAAGTGTATGACCCCGGCTACCCCACGGAGGCAGTATTCAAGTACTGGGTAGCCTTGAAGTGTCCACGCAAGTTCCACATCAAGTTCTCCCTGCCCACCTCTGACCTCCCTCACACAGAGAAGGAAGTGGTGCTGATGATAACAGATGTTGTCCAGACACATCAAATACGTATCCATAACCCGGGGCACTATGAGAAGGTCAAGGTCGGCATGGATGACATGTCAACCACTTCTGGTATGTAACCTGTGACTTGGGCTCCTGGTGAAACCAATCAGGGACCCTGTAGGGAGTCTGTGATAGAACCAACTGCCATGCATTTTGTGTGCTTCGAAATTAATGCAGTGATCAGGCTCAAGGAGTAGGTTGTCATAGCAACTGATCAGTTCCAGGTTTGTCACGCCTGGGAAAAGGCATGTATAGCTTACTAGACAGGTGGCCCAGCACCATTAGGGCATCGAGCATCATGTACAGCTTACTAAACAAGTGGCCCATCACCATTAGGTCATAGGGCATCATGTACAGCTTACTAGACAAGTGGCCCATCACCATTAGGTCATAGGGCATCATGTACAGCTTATTAGAGAGGTGGCCCATCTCCATTAGGTCATAGGGCATCATGTACAGCTTACTAGACAAGTGGCCCATCACCATTAGGTCATAGGGCATCATGTACAGCTTATTAGAGAGGTGGCCCATCTCCATTAGGGCATCGGGCATCATGTACAGCTTACTAGAAAAGTGGCCCATCACCATTAGGTCATAGGGCATCATGTACAGCTTACTAGACAGGTGACCCATCACCATTAGGTTATCAGGCATCATGTAAAGCTTACGAGACAGGTGGCCCATCACCATTAGGTCATTGGGCATCATGTACAGCTTACTAGACAGGTGGCCCATCACCATTAGGTCATAGGGCATCATGTACAGCTTATTAGAGAGGTGGCCCATCACCATTAGGTCATAGGGCATCATGTACAGCTTACTAGACAGGTGGCCCATCACCATTAGGTCATAGGGCATCATGTACAGCTTACTAGACAGGTGGCCCATCACCATTAGGTCATAGGGCATCATGTACAGCTTACTAGACAAGTGGCCCATCACCATTAGGTCATAGGGCATCATGTACAGCTTACTAGACAGGTGGCCCATCACCATTAGGTCATCGGGCATCATGTTCAGCTTACTAGACAGGTGGACCATCACCATCGGGCATAATGTACAGCTTACTAAAGTACTGTCGGAAATGCTAGAAAAATGCTATTTAGCCTGAATATCTTTAGAAAGGTGATAAATGTATTATGTTGTCAATATATCAACTAACCTATAGTGTACCTAATTTTTATTTCAATTGATTTAACATTCCCATGCATTTAAAGGGCAGTTTACAGGGGAGAAGTTGGTACCAAAACAACAACTTAGAATTTTTCATAGTTCAACAACAGAAATCTGAAATAGTCTTTACATTTATGCTAATAATACAGGTGGTGTGAAAATATAATTTAACGTTTTTCTTAAACAAATAAATGTTGAATGTTTGTGTTACTTGACTTAATTATCGTTTCTTTATTGAAGAAATATTAATATAAATGTTAAGTCTTGATAAATAAGTTTCCCGTCATGCATGCACATCTTTATCACAGCGTCCACTATGGCCAACTATTTGCAGACGATTGTTGCAAAGGTTTATAAGTTTTTTGTGCTTGAAAAAGACAGAGGTAAACCTTTCATTAGTATAGAAATGGTTTAATACAGAACTTGTAGAGCTGTTGGTATGTCTTACCAACAAGTTTACAATATTGTAAACAAATCAGACAAGACAGGGACCGTCTCAACACCATTAGGTCATAGGGCATCATGTACAGCTTACTAGACAGTTGGCCTATCACCATTAGGTCATCGGGCATCATGTACAGCTTACTAGACAAGTGGCCCATCACCATTAGGTCATCGGGCATCATGTACAGCTTGCTAGACAAGTGGCCCATCACCATTAGGTCATCGGGCATCATGTACAGCTTACTAGACAGTTGGCCTATCACCATTAGGTCATCGGGCATCATGTACAGCTTACTAGACAAGTGGCCTATCACCATTAGGTCATCGGGCATCATGTACAGCTTACTAGACAAGTGGCCCATCACCATTAGGTCATAGGGCATCATGTACAGCTTACTAGACAAGTGGCCCATCACCATTAGGTCATAGGGCATCATGTACAGCTTGCTAGACAGGTGGCCCATCACCATTAGGTCATAGGGCATCATGTACAGCTTGCTAGACAAGTGGCCCATCACCATTAGGTCATCGGGCATCATGTACAGCTTACTAGACAGGTGGCCCATCACCATTAGGTCATAGGGCATCATGTACAGCTTACTAGACAGGTGTACCATCACCATTAGGTCATAGGGCATCATGTACAGCTTATTAGAGAGGTGGCCCATCTCCATTAGGTCATAGGGCATCATGTACAGCTTACTAGACAGGTGGCCCATCACCATTAGGTCATAGGGCATCATGTACAGCTTGCTAGACAGGTGGCCCATCACCATTAGGTCATAGGGCATCATGTACAGCTTGCTAGACAGGTGGCCCATCACCATTAGGTCATAGGGCATCATGTACAGCTTACTAGACAAGTGGCCCATCACCATTAGGTCATAGGGCATCATGTACAGCTTATTAGAGAGGTGGCCCATCACCATTAGGTCATAGCCCAGCTGAAAAGGCACCATGGTTGACCATGGTCAACCATGGCTTACCACGGTAAACCATGGTATTACCATGGTTTACCATGCTAAACCGTGGTCACTAACTTTTCTCCCCATGGTAGACCATGGTAGACCATGGTCACCATGGTATACCACAGCAGACCATGGTCATTATAGACCATGGTCACCAGAAACCATGGTAGACCATGGTCACCAACATTTCTCCCCATGGTATACCATGGTGACCATGGTATACCACAGCAGACCATGGTCATTCTAGACCATGGTCACCAGAAACCAGGGTAGACCATGGTCATCTTAAACAAAACTATGGTAGACCATGGTGTTGTTCTCATACAAAAGTAATGGTTGACCATGGTCATCACAGACAAATCTATGGTAGACCATGGTCATGACAGACCAATTTTACATTTCAAACTGTAATAAATAAAAAATTAAAATTGAAATCCTGTCTGTTTCATGACATTGTGTTTCATTTATGAATAACAAAAATAGCGGGAGCATTCAATGAAGTGTTACACAGGCATTATACTAATAGCATTACAAAGGGCGTGTGTAAAACATCTCAGATGAAAAATGTTTTTCCTGAGTTAGTTTGCCTTTAATGAATATTCATGACAGATACCTTACAGATCCTTGTTTTTACGTCTGTGTGCATTGAAAAACTAAAATTGAACACTTCACTCGGTGAGAGACAAGTTAAAATGAAGTGTGTTTTAATGAAAAATACAAGAACACAATGTCATAAAAAACAATTATCAACGGGAACAGTTCACGTAATTTAACTTTCTCATTGTTGCTACAGAAACACACAAACAAATAAGGAACAAAGGACGTCTTATACACTTGAAAATCAAAACAAAATTAACCCTCCGTACATTTGAAAATAAAATAATTTTGCCTGTCCCCTTTGCTAAAGTTGTCCATTAAACTTTGTAAACCCCGTCTCTCGTGGTCTTACTAGTTTTTGTGCCTGGTTGCCTTTAGTTTTTGATTTTTCAAAAAATACAGCAACAACATAAACAATGCACGACAGAAGGCGAAACAATATTCTGTGCCTAACACGATCCGTTTTAGAAACATAGACAGTTCTGCGTGTAAAACTTACCTTCTGTCAATAACAGCGTAACCAATTAGTGCTGGAAGATTTTTAATTCTCTTTCTTTTTCATATTTACTCCATGAAATAAAATTTGAAAGTACAATGTCAAAATCGTCTCATTTCATTGAATTTCTCCCGTGAGTGATCACGATCGGCAAACGCGTGCCTAAAACTTGTTATAAATGCGTCTTTACGCAAGTTAATGGTGAAGCTCCCGATTTTAGAACACATTTCACTGTCACTTCCTGTTCAGCACTTGCAATATGACCCGGAAGAGATTACATCAAAGTAGATTAATGAAATTTAAATTATTGCCGGGGATATGTGCAAAAACTATTCTTCCACGTTATGATCGACAAAGGAACGCGTGTACACTGAATATCTTTTTCGAGATTCCGCCGTTGACAATATTATTGTTTATGAATTCTAATTTTGATGTTGATGCCTTGATATTGTAATTCTTGCCTTTATTTGTTAATAAGATGAGAAATTATCCACTGTTGACTACGTAGTGTTGTTATGAAGTACCTCGATCGGCGTGATTGCAAACACGGCATTGCGCCGATTCGCTTACGTAATCTTATATTGCGACTTCAAAAAGCGGATAGCACTAATCATACAGCCTTTTACATACATATAGTTACGATACATCCCTGGTGCGTACTAATTAATTTTTTTTCTAAAAATATGTTTCAACTTCAACTTCGGCCATTCGGGACAAGCCGAATGGAGATAGTGCGATCACGAGAGACATACGACCGTTTCAGCCGCGACCGATGCCATAGCTGCTACTTGTCACGTAGACATTTGTGGCATAAAACCAGTGATAGTGAAAACACAACTTTGTCAACACTGGCAATAGATTACAACGATCCAAGCGAAGAATATCCCTAATATATTAGCAATGACGGATTTCGAGGATAATCCAGCGATGGATATGTCAAGAACTCATGATAAAGGAATAGACTAGATTTAGTGCCGATGGATACATCTCAAGTTGAATTCAGTGGACATAAGCATGAGCGGTAAAGTAAAAACAGCAATATTGAAATTATTTTGAGTGCAGATGTATTGAAATTGTTTTGATGTTAGGAATCGCACATCTGACGTATGTGGCGTGGTAAGCAACAGTTTTTGAGGAGAATGGCGGAAAGATCGATATAAGATATAGCAGTGTTCATTTTATATACAATGTACTTCCCTCAAACGGAAAGTCAGTGTTAATTTGGGTTTTGTGCAATATGTTCTACATATCTATGTTAACACACGACCAATATCTAACGGTACTTTAAAAAAACCAAAAACCGTTATGACTTTTTTTAGTTAAGTTATCAGTGATCGAATGGTATCAAAGTTCACGGGGCTTGTAGAGGTCAGCCTGAAAGATTCAGTTTG